CTTATAAGGTTACAAGTAAAGAAACAGACCTAGAAATGCTAATTAACTTGCCCGATTTAAGGCAGATAGAAAAAGGCAGAACTGAAATTTGAACTAAGGCAGTCTGACTCCAAGCAGATTTAGCCACTGTGCTATGGTTCTTCCCAAATGCAATCAATGCTATACTGCCATTCACACTCAGAACTGACCAAACATTCCTTTATTCATTTCCTTATAAGCCCTTTCCTCAAGTAAATGTGCCAACTTTAACTGATTCATTCATATAAAAATATATTTATTCAGTCAATGAATAAATTAAAGTTATTCCCACATTCAACACAGTCATTAAGAGCAAACATAAACGAGTAAGACATGATCTCTGCGTTCTCTTTTAGTCCTCAAACTCCACCTGCCCCCTCACTCTCTACAGAAATAATTAATTAATATTTATTAGCACTTAACGTGCCATGCACTTTACATATAGGAATTCATTTAATCTACAAAACAATCCTCAGTATTATTATTCCCATTATACATAGAAGAAACCTGAGGCATAAACAAAAACAAAAATAAACAAGTGGGACTACATCAAACTAAAAAAGCTTCTACACAGCAAAGGAAACCATCAACAAACATGAAAAGGCAACCTACCAAATGGGAGTAAATACTTGCAAATCATATATTGATAAAAGATTAATATCCAAAATATATATTATATATAATATAATATATAACTCATACATCTCAATAGCAAAAAAAGTCTGATTAAAAAAGTGGAAAGAGGATGTGAGTAAACATTTTTTTCCAAAACAGAGATATTAATGGCCAACATGTACATGAAAAGATGCTCAACATCACTAATTGCCAGGATAATGCAAATCAAAATTACAATGAAAAATCACTTCACACTGTTAGAATGGCTATTATCAAAAAGACAAGAAATAAAAAGTATTGGTGAGGATGTGAAGGAAAGGGAACCATTGTGCACTGTTGCTGGGGATGTAAATTGGTGCAGCCACTATGTAAACAATATGGAAGTTCCTCAGAAAATTAAAAATAGAACTACCATATGATCCAGCAATTTCACTTCTGAGAATGTACCCAAAGAAAATGAAAACACTAACTTGAAAAGTTAACGAGCGGAACACCTGAAAAGATTATCTCCACCCCAATATTCACTGCAATATTGTTTACAATAGTCAAGAAACAACATAAATGTCCACTGATGAATGAATATATATATATATATATATATATGGTATATATTTTTAAAAATGGGACATTACTCATCCTTAAAAAAAAGGGGAAATCTTGCCATTTGTGACACCAGGAATAGATTTTAAGGGCATTATGCTAAGTGAAATAAGTTAGATAGAAAAATACAATTACCACATAATCTCATTTATAAGTGAAATCTAAAAACAAAACACAAAAACTGAACTCACAGATACTGAGAACTCACTGTCAGAGGCAGAGGGTGGGAGATGGTCAAAATAGGTGAAGGTAATCAAAAGGTACAAATAAAAACTTCCAGTTATAAAGTCAATCAGTCATGGGGAAATGTGCAGCATGGTGACTACAGTTAATAATACTGGATTGTATACTTGAAAGTTGTTAAAAGAATAAATCTTAAAAGTTCTCACCTCAAGAAAAAAAAAACTGCAACTAAGTGTGGTGATGGATGTTCACATGACTTAAAGTGATAACCATTTCTCAAAACATGGAATGATTGTGTTGTACACCTAAAACTAATATAATATTATATGCCAATTATATATCAAAAATATTTTAAGCAAAAAACTGAGGCATAGAAGTTACATAATGTACCCAAGGTCACACAGCTAAAAAGTGGCAAAGCCAGGATTTAAAACCAGTCTCGCTTCAGAATCACTAGAATGCCTCAAAGTCACTGACACCACTAGGCTTCTATCCCTCAACTTTTCTACCTACACCTTAAACATAATCCACAGTATTAATTTATTCAACACTGACTGATACTCACTTGCCTTGTTTTGGTTCCTTGAACACAAGTTTGTTTCTGCCTCAGAGATTCTTTATTTTCCTCAGACACTACTCCTCTAGATCTGCCTTCTAATCATTATGACTCAACTTAAATGTCAACTTTCAAAGAGACCTGTCCTGAACACCCTACCTAAATACCCCTCCCAACTACTTATTTCCTTCATAGTTACTTTTACTGCTTGAAATTTTCAGTTGCTTATTTCTCTCCACTAGAGTAGAAGTTCCAAAGAAAGTACCGACTTTGTCTGTCTTGATCACTGCTACATATTCAGCACCTAAAACGGTGCCTGGCATACAGTAGGCACTTGATGTTTACAGAACAGATGCCAAAAATTGTGCTAGACATTGGGATCATCAAAATGAACAGGATATAGTTTTTAATAAACTCCTAGTCTTTATAAATACACCTCCTCCTCTTCTATGCTAAAAGATGACTAGCCCCTAATTTTTTTAATGGCTAACTTTTCCACATGTCATGTTAAATCTGTCCCTGAGATCTCCCTTAGACTTCTATCCATCAAATATCCCCTCTCTCACTTCTTGAACTTCTCCTTCTCTGCTTACTGAATGTTTCCCTCCCACCCTCTCATACTCAAATATCCTTCCCTCAACCCTAAATCTCCCCATTATCCCCCAAATATCCCACTGACTTCTCATCATATCTCTCTTCCATAGACGTCTTAACCACTTCCTCAAAAGTCAGTGACCTGAAAAGTGCTCTCACTTGCTTCAGCACATAACCCTCCTGAGGACTTTCAATTCACTGTCTTAGAACCAGCACTGCTACTGTCCCACAATTCTCTTCTAAATTTTTTGTATCTCTCTTTTTTGGCTTCCTTCACTGTCTCCTTTCTGTCACACGTTTAAACTTGATTCTCAATAGAACTTCATCCTTTATTCTTGCTCCATTCTCTGTCTCTGAAAGATTTCATCTTCTCTAGCTAATGCCCCTATACAAGTAATTTCATCATTCATTCAGAACCTAAATCCCAGCTCCACTCTCCCCATTCATATTTAATAAGAATTGTGACTGAATTCTTAAGCAAATCCTCAATAAAGAATAGTTGTAGGCCAAGATTTAGAAAAAATAATGTGAACTATAATAAACAATAATGTTCTGAACAAGCACCAGAAGGCAATATTATACAACATAAGGCTGGTTTTCACTATTACTTCTTGAAATATAGTACTCGAACTAATTCTTCATTAATTTTGCTTGACAGCTTGTACAAAAACAGAACAAAAACTGTAAAAATCACTCATAGATTTTACATATGTAGTTAATCTACATTAATTTTCTAAAACTGCTTATACAGTTCTAAATACATAGAAATTATATTATTACACAAGTAGAAAGTTAAAATAGGAATACACTAGTCACAAATTATTGCTCAAGTCTGGAAACAACATACAAAATAAACTCTAATTCTTTGAGAGGGGTTTGTAGGGGTTTGTAAAGATGTACCTACAGTGCCATAATTTAGACTCACACCTCAGAATTATACCTAATTATTAGAGCAAACTGTCGATTGAGGTTTTGTGCTATTTTCAAAAACATTAGCAAGGAACAGACGTGTGCCATTGTGGCCTTTGGCTTAGACAGCAAAAGGTAGTCACACATTTATATCAATATGATAAAACTACTCAAGTCCCAACCCTGTAAACAATTTTATAATGAGAAGAGTGGTTTACCCAGAAAAAGTGTAAAGAAAGCTCCATCTTCACAACTCTCCAATGGATAAGAGCCACAATACACACTGGTCAACCACAAATACCCGACTCGCAGCCTAGCCCCTTTCATAGTGAGAGAAAATGGAAGCTGTTTATTATCAAACAAACTGCACATTCAATAAATACATTAAACTCTGTAACTTACTTGACAAAATCCTACTATGCTTTCCCTATGTATTGCAAGAAGGTGTAAGAAAAAAAGATGAAGCCAACTCCCAATTACCACTGTCAAAGCCAAGCTGGTGAAACAAGTCTGTCACCATCCTTCAGGGTATGTGGCATGTAGGGGCATGGGAAGGAAAACAATAGGAGAGCCCTTAGCAAAAAAGACACCCACATTTTAAGAAAAAGAAAATGAAAGTGACTTAATATCTACATTAAGGAAGCTGAAGGTGCATCAAGCCTAGGAAGAATCTAGGAGCTACTCAGATTTTCTAGTTGGTGGCAGTTGATTGCTATACCAGCTGTCACATTTTGAAGTTCTTCAGCTTTTCCCCTTTCCCCACAAAACCCCCTCTACTCTACAGCAGTAAAGTGACAGAGGAAATACAACAGAAGATGAAGGGAAATGGCCGATAGGACAACAGAACACAAGAGCAGCTGCAACCACATCTCTAGAGGACCAAAAGTACAGCTCTAAAAATCTGTATCAGACACCTTTCACATCCACATAAACCTCCATCTGCATCCCCTTCGCATAAATCTTTTAAATTGAAACCCCACGCCTTATCCTACAGCCTGATTATCTAAAACTCATCCTATATATATGATATTATCCTTAATCGATACCATTGCTCCTCTTTGTGAAAGGCAGATTTTTTTTTAAGGGAGGCGGAAAGGTGAGGATGGAATGTCATGGGGGTGGGAGGAGGGGAATGAGAAATACGTGCAAATACCATTGCGGCAGAAACACTGGAAACGCCACTTCCCTCACCACTCTTGCAAATTCTCTTCTTGCGCTACCCTCTACTCATCCCTCCTCTTTCTTCAACAATACGCATACACGTGTCATAACCGACCCGCACCATCACCTTTTCTAGCATCACAGGCTCCCCTCCCACCTTCTCTTGCCCCCTACAAAGACAGTCACACACACTTAAAGCAGAAACTGCTGCCACCGCACCCTCCTGTCTCAATAAGTGCTTCTACCATCCAACATCAAGCGCTTACTTAAAGATAGCTCAATAAATACGAAGACACACACACACACACACACACACACAGGCACATGCGGCATGTGGCGCAAGGAAGGGCACTCGGAGACGCACCTGGAGGCCGGGTGTCCAGCGCTGCTGCCCCCCTGGTCCCTGTCACTGAGCGCAGCTGTGTAAATCCTCCGGTAGCGGTCGGCCAGGGCCCGCCTGACAGCAGCAGCTGGTAGTCGGACCCCCGGGAGTCCCGGCGGGCCCGGCACGCCCCCACGCCCCAGCCCCGCGGCCGC